CAGATTTCCTCTGCACAGTTGGCCGGGCCAGTGCATGGTGTGTTAGCAATAGGGGGAAATGCCACAGTGGGGGTATTTTGTTCAAGTAGGACCTTTGAACCAGGCAATCTTAAGATTACAAGATAGCAGAATCAAGCTGATATAAAAAAAATGTTAGTTGCGTGTGTGAAGGTAGTACATGTGTGTGCACATGGAATGTGAGCGCAGCCCCCAGGGTCTGCCTCTTGGTTGGGGTTTCATTCCAGGAGCTATTCCTGAACATGCCTACTGTGATTCAAAGGGAGAGACTCCTTGGGGAAGGGAGGGCTGATGAGAGAAACAGGGAAGTAGGGTCCCTAAAGTGGACCTGATAGGTGGAATGAGAATTATTTTCTAATCTCATTCTAGGCTGCGTGTTAGTCAGATGGTGTTAAGTAACAGAAGTAAAAGGCCACGTGGTTTTGCTCTCCCGCGGATCCCACATGGCTGGGTCGGGCTTTGCCTTTATGTTTCAGAGCCTCCACATGTTAACCTTTCTTCTCTGTCTTTCCTCGGTCCCTTCTCCTTTCTTCTCCTGGATTTGTTCCCTTGCAGGTATCAAACTGACACTGTCAGCTCTGCTGGATGGCAAGAATGTCAACGCGGGTGGCCACAAGCTTGGTCTAGGACTGGAATTTCAAGCATAAGTGAATACTGTACAATCATTTAATTTTAATCTATTTTGCAGCATAGCTACCTTCAGAATTTAGTGTACCTTTTAATGTTGTATGTCTGGGATGCAAGTATTGCTAAATATCATGTTAGACATCCAGGTTAAAGATGATTCAGCTTTAAGGTGTTACCCTTTCAAAGGTACAGAAGAAACCCAATTCCCAAAAAAAGGTCCTTTCAGCTGTAGCCTGAGGGGGTTGGCAGCCCCCCTAAAGATGTCAGATTTCTTTTTTATCTTACAAATGGCTGCAAGTGGAAGCTGATAATTTGTAGGCACTTTGTAAATTCGTATTAAGTAAATGAATGAAATTGTGATTTACTGAGAATTAAACTTTATTTTCCTACCCTACTTAAGGAGAGGCTCACTGATGGTGTGGACATAATCATCTGAAAGGATGTTTCTAGACAGATCTTCATGACCTGTTTCCACCCCAGTCCATCACCTCTTTTACACCAACAGTGGTCTGAAGGGCGTGGTAGCAGTTTCTTTTGTGCCATTTTGGGGTGGAGAAGGTGGATGTGATGAAGCCACTGATTCAGGACTTCCCTCTCACGTTGTGATTTTTGCCCTTGCACCAGAGTATGAAATAGCTTTGAAGTGCTCCAGCTGCCAGCTGGGAAGAGTATCTGTGACTAATCACATGGTGACAACTCAGAATCTAAATTGGACTTTTGTTGTATTCTCGCCACTCAATTTATTTTTTAGCAGTTTAATGGGTACATTTTAGAGTCTTCCATTTTGTGTGGAATTAGATCTTCCCCTTCAAATGCTGTAATTAACATCACTTAAAATAAAACTTGAATAAAATACTGAAACCTCATCCTTCTGTTGTTTTTATTAGTAGAGGCGCAAATAGCTGGAAAACCAGGGCATTTGTTTGAAACTGTCTTTGGCTACTTGCTCTGTGTGTGTGTGTTAGCATTAGTTTCTGTTGCAGTATAACAAATTACTATAAACTTGTTAGTTAAAAAAAAACAACAACCCACTCATTTCTTCCACAGATTTCTAGGTCAGAAGTCCAGGAACAGTGTGTCAAGGCTCTTTAAGGGCCTACCAGTCTGTAATTAATATTGCAGCTGGTTATGGGGATTACACTTACGGGGGAGGAGTCAAATATTGTACAAAAGTGAAAAACAGTATAAGAAAATAAAACAGACAACGGATTTCAGCTAGCCTGGCCTCATTGGTCTCATATGGCGGCAGCAGAGTTCAGTTCCTTTCTGATACTGGTGCCTGTTTTCTTGCTGGCCAAGAGCTACTGGCCACTCTAGCAAAGATAGGCCTCCTGCTTTCCTGTCCTGCTTCCCTAGTTCCTTTCATCTCCAAAGCCAGGAATAGAAAACTCCTCTGTCAAACCCTTCTGGCATCAAATTTCTGGAAGACCCCCAGCCCTTTTTCTGACTCACTTGATTAGGCCAGGTTAATCTCCTATTCTTTTTTTTTTTTTTTAAAGATTTTTTATTTATTTGTGCATACAGAACTGGGTACAGGCCAGAGGCTTAGGGGCGGCGAGAGGCTTCACCAGAGACAGAGTGGGGAACAGAACAGGCAGATCAATGAAGTACACTGCTTAGGGGAGCAGCCAGCGGGTCAGGAGAGGTCTGCCACACCATGTGCTCACCTCCAGGGCAGGCGGGGATTGAACACATGCAGAAGCGGCTTTTAGATTCTCAGTGCTGTGCTTTAACCCTGGCTGCACCACCAGGGAGGGCCCCTAATCTCCCATTCTTAAAGTTGACTGCCACCAGTCCAGGCTGTGACTTTAAAGTTGACTGTACTATATAGCAAAATCATCATGAGAGTGATATCCTTCCTTAGTCATAGTTCCCTTCCCCTCTCAAGCAAAGGTCATACAAAGCCCTGCGTCATTAAGAGTCATTTAAGAAATCTGCTTCATTTATATTTAGTAACTTGTGGACAATTCAGTTTACAAAGGAGAATAGCAAAAGTCCTATCATTACCCATCTTCAATAAATATTAAGGGTGTATGTGTGTTTTGTGTATCTATTTTGAGTGTGTGTTTGTGTGTATATATGTATATAGGCAGATTCCTTTTTTCATGTTTGACATTGACAGTTGCAAACAGGTATCAGATTTACTTTTTGCATGTTGTATAATTGGTTTCTTCAAATCACTGGCCTCAGTATTTGTGCCATGTTTATCAGTACAGTATTTGTCATGTTGTCTTTGTTAAGTTTATAAGGACCTTCATTTACTTAAAAGTGAATTTGAATTTGACCAGAGATTTAGGCAGGTTGCAGTTTTTGGGTACATCCAGTCAGATAGCAGTTATAGTATGAAAGTATTGTGAAATTTACAAAAGACCTCTTGGGGATGAGGGAATATTTTCTTCCCCATTTACAATGAAGTATTTGCTTGTGGTATGCAGCATGTCAGAATATTGTGCCATGTTCCTTCAGTTCAAGATAACTCACTAGTAGGGGTTGAATTAATAGTACTGTGACAAAAGGAAAGAGTGGCCAGACACCCAGGATTGAAGGTGTGCTTATAGGAAAAAAGCCTGTGTAAATTTCTCAGGAAGCACAGTTTAGAATTGAGGGACTTGTTCATTAAGCTCCAGGGAGGGGAAGCCCCAGTGGAGCATGGGGAGACTGTAATGTCCTACCCTGGAAGGTTTGCAATAAAGGCACCATACAGTTTCTCTGGGCTTCTGGTGAGCTTAGGGAAGTGAACAGATGAATGAGCTCTTGGTTTTCTTAACACAGAGTTTGTGTGTTTCTAAGCAGTCCTTGGAGCCAGAAAAATAAGGGAAGCCGGATTCAGGAGAACACAGGCCCTTCTCTCTTCAGAGAGGTAGCTCAGCTGTCTCTGGGGCCTAACAGCAGTCCTCTGAGAAGGAGACCAGAGTGGTGAAGCAGTGGGTGCATAAATACCTTGCTTCATGCCACACTGACTTTCCTGCAAATAAATCAAGTGGAACTTTTATGATGTGAAGGCTGTGGAGGTTTCATTAAGGAAACATTCTTAGAGCATACAGACCAAAGCCCTGTGTCAGGGCCATCAGGGAGCTTCCTAGAAGTTTTGAACTTTGAATTTTGGAGAGTTTTAAGTTACAAAATTTAAAAAGTAATAGAGGCTTATTATAGGAAACGTGTAAGCTGTTTGTATCCCTACTTCATAGCCCCCTTCTATGGTTTTCCTTCATAATAACTTCACTGTTTAATAGTGTGTATTTTACACTGTAGACACACACATACTATAGAAAGGCCGGGATTCGTTTTGTTCTCAGCTGTCTTCTGAAACACGGAAAGATGTAAAATATTTATGGGGACAATAAATGATAGGAGCGAATTGAAAAATAAAATTTACTTATAATTCTACTGACCACACAGTTCCCTTTTTTTTTT